ATATATATATATATATATATACATATATATACATATATATACATATATATATATATATATATATATATATATATATATATATATATATATATATATATATATATATATATATATATATATATATATATATATATATATATATATATATATATATATATATATATATATTTATATATTTATATGTATGTATATGTATATATGTGTGTGTGTGTGTGTGTGTGTGTGTGTGTATATATGACCTATATGTCACGATTACCAGCGATCATACTTCATAAGATCGCTGGATCTCCCTTACAATAACTTATGAACTACAAATCCGCCATTTCTGGAATATGTATATATATAGATAGATAGATAGATAGATAGATAGATAGATAGATAGATAGATAGAAAGATAGATAGATAGATAGATAGATAGATAGATAGATAGATAGATAGATAGATAGATAGATAGATAGATACTGTAGATACACACACACATACAGCAGGGAAAATAAGTATAAGTATTTTTCCTGGGAATAATATTTCTAGAGGAGTTAGAAATAAAACAATACAAAATCTGATGGATGAGTTCAGTGTAATAACATTGGACTGACAGAAGGAGAAAGAGCTGAACTACTGAAATGTGTTTAATACTTTATATAAAGGCTTGCTTGGTGCTGAAGCTTAAAGACGTCTCTCATATGGAGAATGAAGCCTCATGCAGTGCTCAGGTGTGAGTTTCTCACAAACTTCATCAGAGTGTCAAAATCTTGATGCTTCTGTGGGTCTTGTCTATTAAATCTGAGCTGTATTCTGTATTCTCTATTGGATTCGGCTCAGGTGATTGGTTGGGCCATTCTACAGCTTGATTGTCTTTCTCTGAAAGCATCTAAGAGTCTCCTCGGCTGTGTTTTGGATCATTGTCTTGCTGAAATGTCTTCATCTTCATCCTCCTGCTGATGTAGATGTTGGACTGAAGCAGCTGATCTTCATTTACACTGAGGAAGGGCAGAGGCTTGCTGAAGAACTACTGACAGATTTCAGCCACTGTCTGGGCTTTCACTGCTCAAATACACCTTCCTTTCTTCATGTGTTCAGCACTTTTTATTTTATTAGACAGAACTGCATTTATAAACAAACAAGTTTAGTTTTTTCTCTGCATTTATGGATTTCGGGTGAAATTTCCAGTCGACATCACCTTTAGAAAGATGTTTTCTGAGGAAAATGGTGACATGTTCCATATTTATTTTCCCCGCTGTACACTTATGGAATGACCTCCTACTCTTGCTGATATGCTAGTGTTGAATTTCACATAGCGGTTGAGGGCTGATGGCGTGTGCTGTGTTTGCAGGTACTTGCTGTGTATGTAAAGGTGAACGTTTCAGACGTGCACGTGAAGATGGCCACCGTGGGTGTGATGTCAGAGGCGTCTGAGGGCGGAGACAACAACGAATTCACTGACATCATCAAGTGGAGATCAGGTGAGCTTGAGCGGGTCAGCATTACAGCACTATTGAAGCGCTGAGCTTTGACATGGCAAGGTTTGTAGGTAGCAGTTTCTGTTTGAGAATTTGTTGTCAAGAGTGTTCACTTTTGTTTAGTCACTCTTTATTGGTGTGGATAAAAGTGAGGGGCTGTCTGAAGCGTGTATTATTATTATTATTTTTTACTGAAAAATGGACTCTGGACTCTCAAAATGCAGTTTTTACATGATTGGATTGACCTTAACCTAAACATGCGTGTACTGTTGTGTTTTAATTGACAGTTTACACTATAAAAATGAGTACTTGATGGCAAATAAAAGTAATTATTGGCAACAATCTGGTTTTATTCCTCATAAAAAGTGAAATTTCAGCTGTAATTCTTCAAATACTCCCAAATGCGTTTTGAATATTTGTATATTGGTAGCCGCGCTTAGCCTCGGACAGAAGAGAACACACACATCTAACGCGATCTTAATGTGAGCGCTTTAATGGTCAAATACATGCACATTTGTGTCAGAGCGCGGTGTTTAGTGATTATTCATGTTAACCCTCATTTGTGTAATAAACGAACAAGTTGAGAATCAAAAGACACGAGAAAGAGAAACCATATCAGAGCCGCACTATTCTTAAAGTGACATCGTGCGATATTCCTGCTGCAGCTGACTGTTTTCATTATTAATCAATAATAAAATAAAAAATACAGTGAAGATACTTAAAGCGCAGTTTAAACATAACAGATTTAATAACTCATTTCTAATAACTGATTTCTTTTATCTTTGCCATGATGACAGTACATCATATTTTACTAGATGTTCTTCAAGATATTCAGCTTAAAGTGACATTCAAAGGCTTAATTAGAAATAGACAAGTCATTGTATAACAGTAGTTTCTTCTGCAGACAATCAAACATATATATTGCTTAAAGGGGCTAATAATATTGAGCTATTAAAATAGGTTTCAAAATATTCAAACCTGCTTTTATTCTAGCTGAAATAAAACAAATAAGCCTTTCTCCAGAAGAAAAAATATTATAGGAAATACTGTAAAAAAAAAACTCTGTTAAGCATCATTTGGGAAATATTTATAAATAAAAATAAATTCACAGAAGGGCGAATAATTTTGACTTCAACTGATAATCGTTTTGAGTAATCGTGATTACAATTATGACCAAAATAATCGTGATTATGATTTTCCCATAATCGAGCAGCCCTACTATATATATATTTGTGTGTATGTGTGTATGTGTGTGTTTGTGTGTGTGTTTGTGTGTGTGTGTGTTTGTGTGTACGTGTACGTGTGTACGTGTTTTTGGGACATACCAGGACACAAATCTGTATAAACACATGGATATGACAAAAAGGAGGTGAAATATGAGGACATTGGTGACGTCCTCATTTCTCAAAAAGCTTATGAATCCTACAGGATGAGTTTAATCAGAGAGTAAAGCTGCACACAGACTCATGTGATGGTTGGGTTTAGGGGTGGGGTGGGATGAGGGCAATACAATATATGGAAACCTATGTAATGTCCCCACTTTTCACAAAAACAAACGTGTGTGTGTGTAATTTAATTACAATTATAAATATGTGGATTTATATAAATGAATACAAGAGGTTAAACCATTTCTTATGGTGTGGATGGTCTGAATTTATTTATTTATTAGTTCTCTCTCTCTCTCTCTCTCTCTCTCTCTCTCTCTCTCTCTCTCTCTCTCTCTCTCTCTCTCTCTCTCTCTCTCTCTCTCTCTCTCTCTCTCTCTCTCTCTCTCTCTCTCTCTCTCTCTCTCTCTCTCTCTCTCTCTCTCTCTCTCTCTCTCTCTCTTTGGGAATGCTGGAATTCCGCTGTGGATTTACAGCTCTTGTCTTTCCAGACCACAATGGCTTTCTTTCTGTAAGGATTCCGGTCTCCTAGTGACAGGCAGAAGTTATGTTTTCTTGGGTTTGGAGCTGCCAGGGAAAATAATGTTGTAGAGGGAAAGGGAGTCCCGTGTCTTCAGTCAGCAGCGGACCTTGTTTTGTTTGTTTTGATTGCGATATTAACCAAGTCATGTGCCTCTGTTGTGGGCAGACTGTGAATAAAGTCCCTCAGCTCAGTTAATGTTTTCTGCTGAGGAGTAATGATTGGCTGTGGGACTGTCAGATGAGTGAACGGGGAATGAAGGGATATAGTCTGTGATTTGGTAGGTGTGTCAATAGCATGGCTTCTCCTGAAGCCACGGTCACACACAGTGATTTGTTTCTGCTTTGCTAGTCAATAATTAGCAATGAGAGCTGACGCTTTACAGCCGTAATCATTGACTGTGGGATGAAGGTGTGTGTGGTGACATATTAAAGGGTTTGTTCAAACTAAGAGGATAATTAGCCTATGAATAAAGCTGCGGTCACACTGCACTTCTCTCCCCATAGACCTCATTCATACGCACACATACAGACAGACAGTCATATACATATACACACACACACACTCTCCTGTCATAATGTCAATAGCATCAGAGAGCAAGAAGCTCTCCTAAAACCACTTCCTGTGAAATCACACTCACGGAAAGGCCTAAAATCAAACACACAAGCTGCGTCCCAAATGGCACACTATACACTATGCACTATGTACTTATGCACTTACACACTCAATAGGATAGTATATGTATGTAGTGTCGTCCCAAATGGCACACTGATGTTTTTTTACTAAGCGGAAATTCAAACCGTTTCCCTGATGACGTTTGACGGTCGCCAAATCAGTGAAATAAACGACCGAATTATCAAATAATACCTGCCGTGAGTGTAACCGCATTCACCACCGGGAGGCGCTATAATCACTCTCGTAGGAGGATTTTGCTTTTACCATGCAAAATTAATAAAGTAATCCAACATGTGCGCCCGATAGCTCCGCCCCTTCCGCTACGTAAGCAAACCTGCGGTCGTTGAGTGTGTGAAGTGTCCATTATTACACACTTCATTTTAGCGGCTGAATGAGTGCATCATCTGGTTAATTAAAGTGCACTTATTATTGTTAGAGTTTTCAGCGTGAACGCACTACTTACACTATTTATACTATAAAATGGCGTAGAACAATGCATAAGTATGCGATTTGAGACGCAGCTAATCGGCATTAATCAAGCTGATATCAAAAGCAGCACAGACATCATCAGCTTGATTCGTGGAGCTTGTCCTCACTCATGAAACAGAGGTCATTGTCCTTGATAGGGCTGCACGATACATCGTTTCAGCATCGAAATCGCGATGTCCGCATCCGCAATAGTCACATCTCTGGAGGTGCGATGCAAAGCAAAAAAAATAAAAATGTATATAACCTTATATATATATATATATATTATATAACTGCCATATTATTTTATTTATTTCAAAGTTAATTGTTGGAAATTATTAGAACAAGTTTATCTTATCCACAATTTATTTGTTTTATAACATGTTAATTTTTTAAAGCACTCAGGGGGTTAGTGTTTAGCTGTTTTTATATTTTCACAATTTTGTGACAAGATATTTCCTTCTGTTTTGTAATTGTTGTGATAAAAAAAGTTTGTAATTGTTGAACAAAAAGGTAAATCACTTATTTTGTCACTCGTGTTAATTCCTAAATGTTATAATAAAATGTCATCTTTGCATTCTCCAAATAAGCTCACCTTTATCACAGTAAAAACAACAATTAGTATTAATATCATAACATATTAGATCCTTGATTTATCTGAATTGACAGTTAAGTCATATTCTTTATAAACAACCCAACAGAAACTAAAAATGTTTGTTTTAGTGTTTTTACTTATTATTTTTTATATTCTATGAAAGTGCTTAAAAATTACCCAAATTATTAAAGAATTATTGATTATTCATATTTTGAGCAGTTCAAAACTCCAGATTCTGAATTTCTAAATATCGCAGGAAAAAAAATAGTGCAATGTCTATTTTTCCAATATCGTGCAGCCCTAGTTCTTGAGTGGTTGTAACTCTGACACACACACTCACACACACACACACGCAACTGAGGAAACACTGTAGAGTAGGGCAGCACAATATAATACATCTCATCCGCATTAGTCATGGGCCGGTGTAAGTTTCTGATGGTATAATAGCCTTGGATAAAAATATATGATTGTGATCACTTATGAGCGGTTGTGTGTGTGTGTGTGTCAGCAGTGTGTGAATATATCCTGTCTCTAATGATAAACATGTATTAACGCTATTGTTTATAATCAGAGTTGATAAAGACAGTCTGCAGAAACACTCTGATAGACATTCTCCCTAAAGTATTCTGGGTAAAGCACACTGTTGAAGGAGGGAGATTAGTTTAATGATTAACCCTTTAATCACTCACCGACACACAAATGGGAAGTGCGTTGACTCTGAATCACTGAATGCAACTTCCTGCATCAGGGTGCACAGGTTATACCAGTCCGCCTGACACAGACACCTAAATGAACTATATTATGCATCAACAGGCCAGATGCTTCCATCTAGTTATTGTACTAACACAAAATTTGAGCTTTGTTATGAAAACATGATATAATTTTATTATTTATTTTATTTTATTTTACTTTTTATTTTCATTCATTTTCTTTTTTGGATTAGTCCTTTTAATCTCGCCACAGCGGAATGAACCGCTAACCTATCCAGCATATGTTTTATGGAGTGGATGCCGTTCCAGCTGTAAGCCATCATTGGGAAACACCCATACACTCTCATTCACACACATACATTATGGCCAATTTAGCTTACCCAATTCACCTATAGACCCAGCTGGTACTTAAACCAGTGACCTTCTTGCTGTGAGGCGAACGTGCTATCTACTGCGCCTCCATGCAGCCCTATTACTTTTTATTTTGTTTTATTCTATTTTAATTTATTTTACTTTTTATTTTATTGAATATTTTATTTTACTTTATTTTATTTTATTTTATTTTATTTTATTTATTTTATTTCATTTAATTCATTATTTTATTTATTTTAATTCAATTTATTTAATTTTTTATGTTTCTTTTCTTTTAT